ATCACATAGGGACCTTCTCAAGAGTGGTGGAACTTGGCCGACGAACCCAGGGGCGGAACTTGGCGCTCATTCCATACCCAATCGCCACGTTGGAAGGGCGTACCGTTCACCTACCTGTCGAAATAGTATTTTTACTGGTCTACCGCCGCGCCTAACTGTTGTCGCACCATGTCATGGGTAGACCGACGAAGTTCCTGTAGTTCCCACACATATGAGCTCGGCGTGTATTGAGGGGGCATGGTAGTCGGTATGCAGGAATCGAGTGGTAAACGAAAAGGACGCCCTGTGAGCATAAAGAATGGGGCATACCCGGTTGATGCGTTTTCCGCAGCGCGGTCGGCCATCATAGAAAGAGGGGATCGTTCGTCCCAGACCTTCTGGTTGGGTCCGCTCGCGAAGGTTTTCAGAAGTTGGATGAGGGTACGGTTGGTTCGTTCGACCTGGCCGTTACCTTCTGGGTGCCACGGCGCCGTTCGGGTCTTGTAAATATCCAACATCTCACACACCTCACGCAATATTCGGATCTCGATGTTAGCCCCACAGTCGGACTGTAGAGACAAGGGAGCACCAAAGCGACAGATCCAATAGTTTAAAAGGGCTGTGGTCACGGAAGCAGCATCCTGCCGACAGAGAGGGGCAGCTTCAGCCCATTTGGTAAAGTAATCAACCATGACTAGGATGTAGCGGTGACCATGGGTGGGTGGAAGTGGCCCTACAGTATCTAGATCAACGCGTTGAAAGGGAAAGCTAGCAGTCATAGGTTGTAGTGGGGCTCTGGGGCGTTGATTGGGGGATTTGATAGAAGCGCAAGTAGTACAGGTATTACAGAAAGTAGAGACCTGGCGTCGGAGTTGGGGCCACCAAAAGCGTTGCCGAGCTGCGGCTTCGGTTTTATTGCGGCCGACGTGGCCTAATTCGCTATGGAGATCCTACAATACCGTGCGAACCAGGCTGCCTGGAACGACGACCCGTGTGCCGCGAGTATCTTCGTCTCGTATGATTAAAATATCGTTCTCAATGTAAAGACGGGGCCAAAGGCTACGAATGGCGTAGGCCGCTTCAGATGAACCGCGTAAGTCACTGAGAGTGGGACGGTGAAGACCGCGGGCCAAGTGATCGTAGATAACAGCGGTATCTGGGTCGGTGCTCTGGGTCAGGGCCCAGTGGTGCAGGGTTTCTGCACTAGCGTAAACAGCGTTGACGGACTCTTGAGCAGAAGAGGGGTCTAGAGGGTCGGCAGTGGGGGGAATTTGCGATAGGGCATCAGCGTTAATGTGTTGCTTATCGGCGCGGAAAATACATTTAAAGGTGTACTCTTGCAAAATCTCCTGCCATCGAGCCAGTTGTCCTTCTGTGTCCTTCGTACTTTGTAGCCACTGGAGGGCTTTGTGGTCGGAACGGACCTTGAAGGGTTTGACAAGTGGGTAAGGCTGGAACCGCTTAATGAAAGTTACCACAGCTAGAAGTTCACGACGGTACGTGCCGTAATTGCGCTCCGGTTTAGACAGCGTTCTACTGGCGAAACAAATTGGTCTCTCAATACCATCCTCACTGGCTTGTGACAGAACGGCACCAATCGCGTAAGCGCTGGTGTCGGTGTCCAGGATGAAAGGTGGGGCATCCGATGCAACATTAGGCAGTGATAAGACAGGGGCACTAATTAAGAGGGACCTCAGTTCGTCGAAGGCGCCCTGACAATCTTGAGACCAAATGAACTTCGCTTTTTTTCCATCAGTCGGTTAAGGGGCCGTGCAATGCCGGCAAAGTTAAGTATGAACCGACGGTTATAGGAAGCCAAGCCAACGAACACTCAGACTTCGTTGGGGTTCGTCGGGGTAGGCCAACAGCGTATGGCATCTACCTTCTCGTTAGAGACTCGGATGTCGGCCGCTGTAATTTAATGGCCTAAAAAAGTAACCTGGGTGCGGAGGAAGTGACATTTTTTTGGATTCAACCGTAGGCCAGCGTCGCGGAGGGCCGCCAATACGTCATGCAGGTTCGCATTATGCTTTTCGATGGACCGTCCGAATACAATGACGTCATCCAAGTAAATGAGACAGCGGCTGGGGTACAGGTAGGCCAGAACAGCCTGCATAAGACGTTGAAACGTGGCCGCCGCGTTACAAAGCC